ACAAGCATAAAATGGAGAAGGAGGCTGGTTAAGGAGAGAGATTGTGCAAATGCATCTGTCTTCTGTGCCAATTTGAAAACTAGTGGTTGGTGGGAGCCAAAGAAAGAAAAAAGTGAACAAAATCCTCTGATTTGCCAGAGAAAAACAAAACACACACAGGAAAACTGACAAGGACTTAGTTGATACAATAGTGTGATAAAAAGTACATGGGATCAGAAATCAAAAACATGAATTGAAATCAAGACTCCTAAACTTTCTAATTGGGTAGCCTTGACCAAGTTCATGAAGCTATTTGATCCTTATATTCCATATATAAAATGTAAATAGCAGTAGATGGGGTAATTATTGAATTACCCAATTTAGTTGAATGATAACCATAAAGGCTGTTTAGCTTGAATATGTTACATGATTTCATAATGATACTAGAAAAAGATCATCATCTTTGGCGTTTGCTGGGGAACTAACTCATTAGTCTTCAAAATGACTAAGAGGCCAGGCGCAGTGGCTCACGCTTATCATCCCAGCACTTTGGGAGGCTGAGGTGAGAGAATTGCCTGAGCCCACAGGTTTGAGAATAGCCTGGACATCTTGGCAAGACCTCATCTCTACAATAAATAGAGTTCCAGCTACTTGGAAGACTAAGGCAGAAGGATTGCCTGAGCCCAGCAGGTTGACACTGGGGTGGCCATGAGCATGTCACTGCTCCAGCCTGGGTGACAGAGTGAGACTCTGACTCAAAAATAAAATAAAAAGATTAAGAAAAGAAAAAAATCAAGTATTTATCTTAACTTCCCTGTGTCAAAAATAATGCAGGATACTTAAATAATTGATGAAAGGAAAATAAATTTTTTTATAAAATAGTTCCTGCTGATAAAGGGAGATGGAATGATAAAATTAAAGTATTGTTATTTCATAAGCCCTAATGAAATAATGGGTTTAGATGACAGTGATCAAGAGCTGCTTAAAATCATTAAGTGAAAAAATGTGAGGAATTTTACTTAAAAAAAAAAAAGCAGGATTCCAGGAAGAGAAGAAGTTTAGTAATATCCAGAATTTCAGGACTACTGAGGGAAGTCAGAGTGGGGAAATTGTCCCCATAACAGGAGATGGGTAGCAGGTCTGGATGAAGCAGACTGACAATATCTGAACCTACTGACTAATTTTTAAATCACAGAAAGAACAACCAGACATTATGTGCTTCATAGTGTGCTGCAATAGGAGTGTGTGATCCTACTATAAAATTTCTTGCCAAAAATCTAACCTGAATCTGATCAAGACTCTATCTTGATCTACCTACTAGTTACAGGTCACACAAAGGTTATAGGAACACTCTGGAACCACAGCTCTGCTATCAGCAAAATACAGAATGTAGAAAATTCTAAAGGATTAAATAACCAATTTTTTCAGCAAAAATAATTGCACAAACAAAAGAGGAAGATATGCTTGGAAAAAAACAACTAAATGAAGCAGGTAGACCTTGTTTGGAGTTTTAATTCAAGCCAATTCTAGAAACATTGTAGGACTATCAGAGAATTCAAACACAGACTATGTGATATCAAAGAATTAACAATTTTTCACTTAATAATGTTATTGTAGTTATGTTTTATGAGTCCTTATCTTCAAGAGCTATATACTAGAATGTTTATAGATGAAATAATACCCAAGATTTGTTTTAAAATAAGACTGTGGAGTGGTGAGAATGTTGTAAAAGAAATAAAATGGGCCAAGTGTGAGTAATTGTTAAAGCAGAGCGATGGGTCCACCAAGATCCATTATTCTATTTTCTCTACTTTTATATTTTATATGGGTTTGAAACTAGCCATTATGCTTTATAATATTACCTGCCCTCTTTTCTTTCTACAGTCTCCTGCTGCCATTCCTATTACACATATGTTACACTTTCTGTTCTGCACATCTCATAACTTCTTTTTCATTCTGTGCATGTCTGTATCTCTGACATTCTGAGTAATTTCTAAGATGTCTTCCAGCTCATTAGTTCTCTCTTTAGTTATGTATAATCTAGAATTTCTCCTTTCCAACTCTGTATGATCTTTTTAAAAAGTTTTTTTCTTGAGTGTTTTGCTCTTTTATTTCTTTAAAAATATTAACCAATATATTATAATGTCTATTAGATCATTCTTCTACCTGAAGTTCTTGATGATCTAAGTCTGCTCTGTGATATATCTGCTGACATACTCTTGGTTTGTTTTTGTTATTGGCAGTGGTTGCTTGTTTTTGGTGTTTACTGTCTTATGATTTTTAATTGTGAAAATATCCTTCTTCTGTGAGCTTTTATAGATATTAGTCTGTTCAGACTGGATTGATAGCATGTTCTTCCAAATAGATTTTGCTCTTTATTTCTACCAGCTGCTTTCTGTATTATTGATTCAGGATAAATTTTAGTACTAACTTCTCAACTTGGAGATTTACTAGACAAGAAATATAGTATAATTTGACCTCCAAACCCATGTTTGGTGCAGACTTTGTTCTAAAATTCCCACAAGATGCTTTTTTTCTCTTTAAAAGTTTTAACAGTCTCATTGATGAAAATTTGATTTTATACTACCATACCAAGTAACACTCAGTATAGTCCTTTCTACAAGTAACTACAAAGTACAGTCATTGTACTCCCTAGAACTATGGAAGTCTTGATAGCTGGCCTTATGAAACCTTAGTGTCTCAGAACCTGGTATACTTTCCTTGAATATGAAAGATTTTATCAGTAAGAGGACCACAGTTTACCCCTTCAGGAGATAAGAGTACCAAGCTCTTAATGACCAGCTCCATGTGGTGAATGAGTGTATTGATGTGTACTGATAGCTATGCTATGTGTTCAAACAAGAGCTTGAAGCAAATGTTTTTTTCTGAATTGAAGGAGTAAGCAAGATCTCATCATCCTTCTGTGTGACAACCAAAAAAAAAAAAGAAAGAAAAAGCCCCACTCCCACATGACAAAGGGAAACTCATCAGTGCAGAATAAAATTTAATCATCCTATGTTACTAGAAATCAACATGTCAAAAGCTCAAAAGGCTCTGTGCTTTAGAACATCATTCTAAGGTAACTAACTCAGGAACAGAAAGCCAAACACTGGATATTCTCACTTGTAAGTAGGAGCTAAACTAAGGATCTGCAAAGACATGGACAATGATATGACGATCATTGAAGACTCAGAAGGGGAAAGAGGGGAGGAAGCTGAGGGATGAAAAATCACCCATCAGGTTACAATGTGCTGGGGGGGGGGGTGATGGATACACTTTGTCTCCTTTGCCAAAATACAATACAACCATGTAACCAAAAACTGTTTGTACCCCTTAAAACTATTGAAATAAAAACAAAAAAGGCACTATGCCAGGCTCTACTCATCCTTGTTTTAGGCTTGTCAACCTGGGCATATCCCAGACCCATGCTAGGCTTTCCCAATTTCTAGACAAGATGTACAGAATTTGGAATCCGAAGGAGCACATTCCTAGTCAAATTGCTCTAAAAAATGATTGACAAAATAAAATAGAGCCTTCCAAGAGCACCTGTTGTCAAAGAAAGATTGAGATTTTAATTATGGCTTAGACATTGATTGATTATGTCTTGGGGCTATTACCTCATACTATTAAGCCAAACATTTTTGACTTTGGGATTAAGGTATGTGTGGATAAAGCCTCAGTTGCAGATATGAGTTTCCTTCTTTCCATAAGGTTGCAATCTTGAGTCTTGTCTCCTAAATATGTGGTACTTACAAATTTTAGGTTTTAAAGCATTTTTGTTTTGCATTTATATTACCTGTATGTGTTATATTTGTATAGATTTATTTTGTTTGAGGAAAAAAGTTGCCAAAATAAAGTTAGGGGCTTCTGGTCGGGCTCGGTTGCTCAGCCTGTAATCCCGCGCTTTGGGAGGCTGAGGTGAGTGGATTGCTAGAGCCTGCGGGTTCGACACCCGCCTGGGCAACTTGGCGAGACCTCATCTCTTTAATAAATCAAAAAATTAGCAGGGCATGGTAGCACGCACCTGTAGTTCCAGCTACTTGGAAGGCTGAGGCGGAAGGATCGCCGGAGCCCAGCAGGTCGAGGCTGCGGTGGCCGGGAGTGGCCACTACACTCCAGTCTGGATGACAGAGTGAGACTCCAACTCAAAAAAAAAAAAAAAAAAAAGTTAGAGGCTTCTGGTTTGACATTTGCTTTTTGGGTGGGTAACTTACAAAAGTTAACAGAAGCATTTCATGTTCCTATGTGGTCATAGATGACATTGACCAATCTATGTGTGTTTCTCACACTCTGACCATGAGCCCAGAACTCAGTCAGAAAAGAAGACTTGAAGGTAATCACAGACTCTTTTCTGTGCCTAGAAATATATCAGATGCAGAAGTAAAGGAGATTTAGTGTTTGCCTTCTATAAATACAAAAATGGCAGGAGAATGCAGATACACAGATGTCCCAATGGACACTATCCTAAAGTACTGTCTAGTAGCATGACTCCCTGAGTGTGCTACCCAGTTATCTCTCTTCTTCCCCAATACATGGCTATATACATGGTGCATTGGGAAAATAAGAGAAAAATTATATTTTATAATATTTGTGGATAGGTTGTTGCAAACAAGTAGGGAAATTTACCCTTGCAAACAAGGATGACTTTGGTAGTCAATCCTGTTATAGAAAGTGATAATCTGTAAAAAGGAGCAAGTAATGTTTTCAAATGAAAATCTTACGTACCAACCACTTTCCTAGCCAGGTTCACTCTGGGAGAAGCAACCAATTGATGTAGGTGTAATGGGATATGTAATACTTCTTGATCAAAACTTTGCCTCTGTGGTTGATTCTCCACATCTTGAAAAAGATCTTTGTAAGAAACCACATTCATAAACATCATATGGACATGGTTGAATGCTTCAAGTTTTGGTTAATGAATAAACTTATTTTAAATTGGCATGTTACTTGTATTGCAGGTCTTCCTATTTTTGTTCTCTTTGGTCTCTCTAAAATTTCAAGGAAAAACTACAAGTCTCAAAATGTCTATAAGCAGGAACAAGTTAATTTTACTACTAGGAATGATCTGCTTGGAACAAAGTGAATCTACAACTCTTTCTCTCTCCAAAGGTAAGTTCCAGATGAACTCTATAACTGCCTTTGTTTTAAGAAATAACTTTGTTGGCAATGGGCATCACAATTCTGCCCCACGGTCCCTTGGGAAAATGAAAGAAAACAGATATATTTTGTTTCTCCTGCAATTAGCATACACCATGGGGTGAAACGCTTATAGAATGCAAGTCATGTGTCCAAATAAGTGAAAAATCTCAATTCACTTAGTGAAACAAAGTGAAAAAAAAACTGGTATTGTTCACTTATTTGGACATATTATACAACTCCTTCTTCATGGAGCAAATTCTGGAAACCAGCATGGATTTAGAAGCATGTATAATCTTTTGGAAAATTATCTTGCTTGAAAATATGAAGCATATACACTGTAATATCTTGTAAATTGTCTCCCACCCCCAATTGACTTAAGCCAAAAACAACTCTTGGCAGATTTCTCCATGGTCAGACTTGTGCTAGCCCCAAGAATCAACATGTTTTTTGTCTTTGTGTCAGTAAGGAAATAGGAAATTTTAATCTAAAGTATTTATGATTCATTCAACTGAAATAGTTAGAAAATAAGTTTTGAATCCAATGTCATACCTGCACTGGGTTCAGAATTTTTTTTTTTTTTTTAAACCTAGTGTTACATTCATATGCTACCATTATTTAGCTGCACATCTCTTTGATTCCTAGTTTTTTCATCTGCTATGTGGGGATAATAGTGCTTGATTTACAGGCAGAGAGCAGGGATTAGACAAGAAAGACTTTTGTATATTTGAACATGTTAATCTAAATAACGATACTCTTAAGATGTGTTCTCAAAACAAGCCATTTGTTCATCCATCCAACTTTTCTAAGTGCTTACTTCTGCCATGAATTGTGCTAAACCTTAGAAATACAGAGATGAATAAGACATAGATTTTTTTTTTACCACAAGTAGTTCATAGTTCAATAATAGAGGCAAATAATTCACTATCATAATATTGCATAGTGGAAACTATTAAAGGGATGAAGAAAAAGTGCAACACAATACAATAAAGAGACACTAACCCAATATAAGGAAATCAGGGAAGACTTCTTAGTTGAGGTGATGATCTCCAAGCTGAAGAATAAAGATTAGAGGATTCAGTAGGCAATGAAATGTGGTGATTTTTGAGGCAAGATACAAAGAACAGATCCTCCTTAAAACGTGGCAAAAAAAAAAAATGGCCTGTAGAAAGGAGAGAAGATGTGCTATCCTTGAATTATCAAGTGATGGCAAATATCTTTAATCCAGGTTATGTCTTACATGGGGAGTCAAAAAACCCACTGAGAGCAAATAAGTGAATACAAATTTGGGGGGAATAAAGTCCTTTTACATAAAGGAATGGAGTTTGTTTTGTTTTTAATTACTTGGTAAGCCTCTATTCTAACACTGGTTGTGAATCAGGACACTAGCTTCTCTCCACTCTACTCTCCCTGAACAACCTGTCACTTTCTAGCCCCCTGGAGAATTAAAATGGGTGAAGATTTATTGGTATCTGACTGTGTGGTAGGCACCATAGATTACAGTCTCACTCAGTCCCGTAGGTGAAGCAGCAAAAATATTTACACAACTGCTATCTAAGACAGACTATGGAATTATCAGCAAATTAATTTAATAACTTCTATGTATCAAGAACTATGCTAGATGTTATGAATATAGGTAGCCCTAAGATTAAGTTCCTATATTTGAGGAGCCCACAGTTTATTTGAATTGAAAGACATAGAAATAACTATAATGGGACAGGCTGTGGCTCACGTCTATAATCCCAAGGCAGGAGGATTGCTTCAGCCAAGCAGTTTGAGACCTCGTGTAGGCAACATAGCCCTCGTCTCTACAAAAATATCAACAAATTAGCCTCACATGATGGTGTGTTCCTGTAGTCCCAGATACTTGGAGGTTGAGGTGGAAAGATTGCCTGAGCTCCGGAAGTTGAGACTGCAGTAGCCATGACCATGCCACTGCATTCCAATCTGGTCAACAAAGCATGACCCTGACTTTAAAAAAAAAAAACAAAAAACAGGCTAGGTGTAGTGGCTCACACCTATAACCATAGCACTTTGGGAGGCTGAGGTGAGAGGATTGCCTGAACCCACAGGTTTGAGACCAACCTGGCCAACTTGACAAGACCCCATCTCTACAATAAATCAAAAAATTAGCCAGGCATGGTGGCATGTACCTGTAGTTCCAGCTACTTGGAAGACTGAGGAGGAAGGATTGCCTGAGTCCAGCATTTGAGGCTGCAGTGACTGGGAGCGTGCCACTGTCCTCCAGTCTGGGTGACAGAGTGAGATTCTGACTCAAAAAAAAAAAAAAAAAAAAGTCATAATGGCATATAATAAATGCCATAGGAAAGAGTGCTGTGAGAACTTCTCAGGGTTCATAAAGCTCAGAATCAAAAGAGAACTGCATTCCTAATAACCCAGTGGAGACTTACACCTGGGGCATTAATCTTCATTTAAGAAAAGTAAATCTTTTTATTATATACATGTTCCACATGATAAAAACTGATCAATCCCTTCTACTGCAAATTAAAGCAAATCCCAACAATTAGCTTAAAGTCATTTTACATCTTGCTGCAATGCTCCATGTGCTACAGATTGTTTTTTCTTGCTCAGAGGAGTTTTCTGTATTCCTCAGTCCTAGAAATTATCTAATCACTCAATCTTTATCTTATATTTTTTTCAGCTTCCAACTGTGGGCAGAGTCTGGTTAAGGTACAGCCTTGGAATTACTTTAACATTTTCAGTCGGATTCTTGGGGGAAGCCAGGTGGAGAAAGGTTCCTATCCCTGGCAGGTGAGTCTCAGGAAAAATTATCTTGTGGGTGGGCTTTGAGATGTCTCAGGATTGGATTTCCCAGGATTGTATACTATTTGTCAGTGCTCCATGCTGCCTGCCTCTTCACTAGAGTTCTCATGGTTGTGTACAAAAACCCAAGTCCCCTGCGATATTCATCAGCTGAGTGTCAGAAAAGTTGTGTTCTGAATAGTTACATGCACTACTGACTTGTTCCACAAATCGGAAATTCCATCCCAGACTTTCAACCTTTAAAATAAATATCCTACTTGAAAAAACTAAAGCACTTTTGAATTTACACTTCAGAAAATGTTTTGATTCAATATTAAAATAAACTTCTGTTATAGTTAAGAAAACCAAAGAATTCATATGCACAGATCCACTTTGTGTTGAGGTGTAAAGTTTTCACCCATACTATAGATCCCCTCAGGGAATAGTCAAGAGTGCTGCTTACTTAGTGGTTAATGTCCTAATAATTTTGCCTCAATTTAATCTCCTGGTCCACCCATGTCATAGATGTATCTTTGTGCTTTGACCCTAGCTCATGAAATTTGCATTTACTGTCTCTGAAAGTCTTCCAATTTTCTTTACCCTAAGAGCCATGTTGTATTCTTGCCTCTTACTTTACATATAATAATCCTCTTTATTTTTACATCTCTGAGTCAGTCATATTAACTTGTAGGTCAATGACTATTTGGTAATAGGTAGTTAATTGATTTTGTGTTCAGTGGGTTGAGTGATTAACTGATTAATTACTTGGTTGAATAGTTAATTGACCAGTTGGTTACTTTAAATTGATTGGTCATTCACAAGTCCATAGCAGATCATAGTAATGGTGGTTCATTGACTATTACTTACTCACTCTTTGTTCTAAGCCTCTTCTCTGAATAACTTTTTTTTCCTCATTAAATCATTTTTGGTCGGCTGGGTACAGTGGCTCAGCCTGTAATCCCAGCACTTTGGGAGGCCAAGGTAAGAGGATTGCCTGAGCCCAGAGGTTCAAGACCAGCCTGGGCAACTTGGTGAGACCTCATCTCTACCATAAATCACAAAAACTAGCCAGGCATGGTGGTGTGCATCTGTCGTTCCAGCTACTTGGAAGATGTGGAAGGATCACCCAAGCCCAGCAGGTTGAGGTTGTAGTAGCCGTGAGCACACCACTGCACTCCAGCGTGGGAGACAAAGAGTGAGATTCCAACTCAAAGAACAAAAAAAAAAAAAAAGAAAAGCGAAATAATTTTTGTTAAAAAAGAGGACGGTTTTAATAAACTGCTTTTCTTCTAAATCCAAAGATATGAGTATGTTCATTAAAAGTTTTTACTTATACACAGTAAGTCATTTTAGAATCAAATCAAATACCATAAATAGCATGAACCAAAAAAATAAAAAGTATGTTGGAGAGGCAGAATAAAGAATAGGCTTGAAGAGGATATAAAGGGTATAAGAGTCATATAGTTAAGAGTATGAGAAAATTCCCAAACCAGGCGAAGTGGGGACCAAAGGGAGGCCCAAACTTTGCCTGTACGATGACCACTTATATACCTAATCCTGAATAGTACCCCACATTTTTAAAATTTAAAAAAAGGGCCAGGCATGATGGCTTATGTCTATAATCCCAGCACTTTGGGAGGCCAAGGTGAGAGGATTGCCTGAGCTCACGGGTTTGAGACCAGCCTGAGCAACTTGGTGAGACCTCATCTCTACAATAAATCAAGAAATTAGCCGGGCCTGGTGGCACATGCCTGTAGTTCCAGCTACTTGGAAGGCTGAAGTGGAAGAATCACGTGAGCCCAGCAGGTCGAGGCTGCGGTGGCCATGAGTGTGCCACTGCATTTCAGCTTGGTAGACAGAGTGAGACTATAACTCAAAAAAAAAATGAGTATGAGAAAATGGTAGATCCAAACTATCTCCTAAGAGACTTGGAGGAATTGGAACATGTGTTAAAGGCTCCCTAACCCCCCTCTTGCCTTTCTCTTAAACCTCTTCATCCGGACTTTGCTGTATCTTATACTCCTTTATCTTCATTCTTGGATACTGCTAATATTGTTAAAGCAACAGGTCTGGGTCAACAGTGTTACAAAAACAAATAAATAAATACCAACACTTCTAACTGCCAACTTTACTGAAATCCTTACCACCAATCACCTCAAATAAACACCTCTGAACCAGACCAGGACTAGGCATATTTTGGTTCCAGTACTATTCTTCTTTCTGAGCTGCAGTGTATGGGCTTTACCTCTTCACAGTCCATAATTCCTGACCTCTGTAAGTAAGATATCTGAGTCTGTTTTGGAGAATACACCACATAATCATGTTTTGGGGGGAATCCCAGGGCATTAACTCACTTCCATAAAAGGTCTTTGCAATTTAGGTGTCTCTGAAACGAAGGCAGAAGCATATCTGTGGAGGAACCATCATCTCTCCACGGTGGGTGATCACGGCTGCTCACTGTGTTGCAAGCAGGTAGGGAAGCCCTAGTCCATGGATAAAGGTCAGACAACCCTTTTCTCTCTCTAGGAATCAGCAGCAATAACTCTATTAAAACATGTATGTGGCCAGATGCAGTGGCTCATACCTATAATCCCAGCACTTTGGGAGGTGGAGTGAGAGAATTGCTTGAGCTCAGGGGGTCAAGACCAGCCTGAGCAACATGGCAAGATCTCGTCTCTACAATGAATCAAAAAATCAGCCAGGCACGGTGGTGCATGTCTGTGGTTCCAGTTACTCGGAAGGCTGAGGCAGAAGGATCGTCTGAGCCCAACAGGTCAAGGTTGAGCATGCCTCTGCACTCTAGCCTGAGTGACAGACTGAGACTCCAACTCAACTCAAAACAAACAAACAAACAAATGTATGTGTATAATGAGTGAGCATTGATTTAGTGATGCTACATCTTAATTGTGTGACAAAAATGGGACTCGGTGACATTGTCAGATGGAACTCATCTTGGTAAAAGACTTGCATTCTTTGCAGAAGTTAGACACTTTGTTTACTTAACATGACTGGAATTGAATAAAGAATAATATCCAAGTGAGAGGAAAAGAGCATTACAAAGAAGAATTTGTGAAAGTTTTCTTTTAGTTTTCTTTAATTTCAGTGAAAAAAATTATCCAGTTCATTATACATCTTATGAAAGGAATAAAAGAAAACAAGGGGGGGGGCAGTAAAATATAAAGTAAGCTCCCACGTCTTCCTTCCTACTGCTCCTGCCTCTCTGAATCTCAACCAAAAATTCCATTCTTTGTTTGTTTTTCTGTGTGATCCAAAAATTATACTATTTTCAGTGCTCTTGGTATACACTAGACTGTAATCAAGATCATGTCCCCATATTTTTCCTCTTTTATTTAAATAAAGTCTGCAAGCCTTCCCTGGATATTTACTTGGTTGACAAAATGACCAAGGCACAACTTAATTATGACTACTGCCTCCAGAGAGTTCATAGTATAAAAGAAGTACCAACTGATAATTTTGCTGCAATGTGGCAGGTGGGACACTAGAGAGATTCTGTGTTGTAAGTGAGGTACCTGATACAGCCAAGAGTCAGGGAATTAAACCCAGAGAAATTAATGCCCTCCTTAATTTTGTATAAAAGTACCACTTCTGGGAATGAAGTGTATTCCACTGAGTTCCTTCCAGATAACATTGACCCAGGAAGATGAGGTGTTTCCCAAGTCATGCCAGGTCTCTAAATCACTAAAGAAGGAAAGGAGAAGATCCCAATTTTCCAATTGTTGCAATAAGTCTCAAATTTCTGAGAGTACATACTGGGACATCAGAGTTATGATGCTGTTTGTCCTTCATAATATACACTAAGCATACGATCTCTAACATTTGAAGCAGCATACTTACTGGGAATCACAAATTATTCCCAAAGGAACTCATTGTTACTGAGTCCAGGTTAACCTCCTAGGGTAGCTGAATAAAGTCCCCTATAGCTTTAAAGTATTGAATTACAATGTGTATGCATCTTTACAAATAACATTGCAAAGTATTAAATTAATCATATCACTGACTTCATACAAAGCCCCCTTTGCTAGTCTTCTGCTGGAACTCTGCTGGAACTTGTCTCTGCATTTTTTTCTAACAGTGTTGGAATCATTTCCACATTGTCCATTCATATCATTCTGTAGAAGCCAGTTTGTCAGCTGTCACAACTGTACTCAGAGGCACAATGAAATTCATTCATTTTACCACTTCCTTTTCATAGAAACATTGTGTCAACTTTGAATGTTACTGCTGGAGAACATGACTTGAGCCAGGCAGAACCAGGAGAACAGACACTCACCATTGAAACTGTCATCATACACCCACATTTCTCCATCAAGAAACCAATGAACTATGATATTGCCCTTTTGAAGATGGCAGGAGCCTTCCAATTTGGTAAATATTTGAGGCTTACCCTGAATTTTCTACCCTATGTTCTCTGTTCCATAGCACATTTCCTGCAGTATATGTTCTGAGTCAGAGTATTTTGAGACAGAGGTTTGACCTGGAAAGTCCCCTGTGTGAAAACTCTTTTTGTTTGTGGTTCGGGATATAGCATTATGTGGAGTTGGGAGAGAGTCTTTGTCTGACAAGTGACTCCTGGAGGTGCCAGGCAGAGATACCACAACTCTTACAAAGTCTTTAGGATGGGCACTTAGATGCCAATTGTTGAATGGCCTATGGTGTCCTCTCCTCCACGAATGAGACAAGCCCTGCCTTGCCTTTTTTTTTAGACCATTTTGTGAGGCCCATATGTCTTCCAGAACCAGGGGAGCGATTCAAGGCTGGATTTATTTGTACAACTGCAGGCTGGGGCCGCTTGACTGAAGGTAAGAACTTTGGTGTCACTCCTCTTAATAAGAGGTCAGAACTTTTTGTGAAGAATCAGAAAATTGAATTTTAAATCTACTTTTTAAAAACAAGTGTGTCAGGCTCGGTGGCTCAGCCTGTAACCCCGTGCCTTTGGGAGGCTGAGGTGAGTGGATTGCCTGAGCCCGCGGGTTCGAGACCTGCCTGGGCAACTTGGCGAGACCTCATCTCCACAGTAAATCAAAAAATTAGCCGGGTGTGGTAGCGCGCGCCTGTAGTTACAGCTACTTGGAAGGCTGAGACGGAAGGATCGCTGGAGCCCAGCAGGTCGTGGCTGCGGTGGCCGGGAGCGGCCACTGCACTCCAGTTTGGGTGATAGAGTGAGACTCCAACTCAAGAAACAAAAACAAAAAACAAAACAAAACAAAAAACAATTGTGCAAAAAAAATTTAAAGAGAGTTAATGTCACATTGTACGTAGAAATTCAGGTCTTTCCAAAAGACATAAACCTGAATGGGACATCTTCAACTCAGAAAGTGTGAAAGAGTACTTGGCTGGGGTTTTCGTCTCTGTGTTTTCCAGATGGTGTCCCCCCGCAAGTCCTACATGAAGTGAATCTGCCTATTTTGACCCAGAAAGAGTGTGTGGCAGCCCTCTTAACCCTAAAGAATCCCATCAGTGGGAAGACATTTCTCTGCACAGGCTTCCCTGATGGAGGGAGAGATGCCTGCCAGGTAGGTGGGACTCTCCAGCCTCAGCTTTGTTACGAGGCAGGGGAGTAAAAGAAGGCTGGTTCCAGGTAAGACTGAAATGTTGGAAAGAAGGATCAGGAGTAACAAGGGAAGTTAGGTCAAAATAGAAAATTTAAACAAGCTGATTTTAGCAGGGAGAGTGAATTCAGAGGAGGCCTTCTGCTTTTTTCAAAAGATCAAATAACAGAAATAATGCCAAGAATGAGCTCAGGGTTATCCCATACCTGAAGAATGACTGCCTTTTTTCCTACTTAGAACTTGTGGATGTTGAGCACTTTACTTTTCCTCCGTTCTTCCTGCTAAACAAGACCTGAGGTCAGTTTTATTGCTGGGCAAGACGTCCCTGAGTCTGCAGCGTAAGATAAAGTCTACTGCTTTGATGAAAGCCTAGGGATGAGGAAGAAGGAGGTGAAATTTGTGGGCCCCAATGATATTTGAGGATCATATGGGAATCGTGCCTGAACGTTCTGCCAGGCCCCTGAGTCTAAATTAGGAACTGTCACTGATCCTCATCTAACATCCTTGTGGGGAAAAAGTAAGCACTTTGGGGCACAGACACTGACAATAAAAGTAACAGAGGCCTTTTCTCCCTGCAGGGTGATTCAGGAGGCTCGCTTATGTGCCGAAATAAGAAAGGGACCTGGACTGTGGCTGGTGTGACTTCCTGGGGTTTGGGCTGTGGTCGAGGTTGGAGAAACAACATACAGAAAAATGATCAAGGATCCCCTGGGATCTTCACAGACCTTAGTAAAGTGCTTCCTTGGATCTATGAACACATCCAAATTGGTAATGAAGCCATCACACAAGGTTAAGAAGCTGCCATTTTGCTAGGGCCAGGGAGAGCATCAGAAGAGTCTAGGCAAGTCAGGGCCCTGAACAGACAGGCTATACTTCTATTCTCAGTGTAGCACTAAGGATTTTGACATTTGTCAAATCTAAAACAAGAGTAAAATTTGGTATATGATACAGCATGCAAATATTAAATGAAAAACAAACTCATTCTTCCTAGATATTTTTCTCAAATTTGCCTTTAATTGACACTGTCTCAGCTGATGACATGTTTTCACCACTTATATCTCATCTGTTCTAGCAAGATTCATCAAGCTATAGCATAGATCAGTAGTTATTGCCTGGAACAATTTCCCCCCACCCCCAGGGGGCAAACCAGGAGACATATATAATTGTCATGACTGAGGACAGGGGCATTGGCATCCAATGAATAGGAGCCATGGATGCTGCTAACAGCCCACAATGCAAAGGACAGTGCCCCCAACAAAGAATGATCCCATCCAAAATGTTAACAGTGCCAAGGTTGGGATGTTCTAGGTATAGTAAGCCTGAAAAGACCAAAAGCTACTTGTAGTCAACTCTCCATATCTGTACTTGCCACACTGGTAGAGTCAACCAACTGTGAATCAAAAAAATTTGGGAAAAAAATTAAAAAATAACAAGACAACAATAAAAAGAATACAACTTTTAAAAATACTATGTAACTACTTATATAGCATTTATATGTATTATATAGCATTTAGGTATTACAAGTAATCTAGAGATAAAGTACTATATATGGGAAAAATGTGCCTAGGTTACATGCAAATATTTACATAGGGACTTGAGCATTCTTGGATTTTGGTATCCACAGGGGTCCTGGAACCAATCCCCTGCAGATACTAAGGGATGACTGTACATTCTTCTACCAGACTGATCAGTGAGTTAATTGTGACTTCATTACTACCTCCAAATCCAACTTCAAGTTTGTTTTTGTTACAGTGCCAAGTATCTGACCTGTTCCAAGAACTCTTTTGTAGTTGTGAGCAAGTTATTTCCATCTGTAGTTTCTGTTCTCGTGTGAAAGGACCTCTTCTTATTTGTGTAATCTCCAAGTTAATCACTGTTTCTTATTAGCCCACTCAATAAAATCTTTCACTTTTGAGCAAGGAGATGCTAAGTTTTTGAAATACTGTTCAAGATACCATAAGCTTTGAAATCCATCTTTGTTTTTCTTTCTCAGGGAATCGGAGAAGGAGTTCCAAAGGTGAGTATTCCTTGAATCCTTCCCCATCAAGAGCACTAATTAACGTCAAGCATTTCTGAATATCAGTTCTCTTTATAACCAAAAGTCTTTCCTCTGCAAGAGCTCCCATGCTCCCTAGATATAAAACTACCACCTGCAGCACCCGCAGTCATTTCCTTCCAGTCTGGGCAAACCCATGCCCAGCAGGAGCCCCAGATTCCCTCCCATTTTACTTCTAATCAATCCGGAGCTCCATCTCAATTCAGCCAATATTTTCCAAATCCTAGCTTTGAATCAGAGACTTGAGGAAAGTGGGTGAGTGGGTGTAGTATGGTCAGTAAACTACACACCTTGCCCTATATACAAAGGGATCTCATCATCTGTGTTACATTGCAACTCTACAGTGAGCTCACACTCTGACTTTAGACAAGCTCTTTCCTATCTCTGGTCCTCGGTTTCCTCATCCATTGAGAAAAGAGTTTGTACCAGATGATCTTTAGCTCAAATCTTTAGTGGTTTAGTGGTTCTTTAAGCCAGTAGAACTATCTACAAATAGCAATATGGAAAAAGATCACCCTGAGAGCTCAGAGGAGTGAGAGGCTGCTTCTGGCTGAAAACAAATAAATAAAGAAGGCTTTAGAATCATAGACATTTTAAAGTGGAATCTTGAAGGATAAGTAGGAGTTTATCAGGTGGACATGCAATATGGGTAAAGAAAAATATTACCACTCAAAGAATCTTCCTTATCAAAGGATAGGTATTAATAGATGAAGAAAAAATGTTGGGTGTAACAGAGACCAGTAAGTCAGTCAAAGCAGTGGAAATGTAGGATGTGTGATAGGGTTTTATGAGGGAGAAAAATAGAAAGAAAATTTGAGATCAAACTCTGGAAACTTTAAATAGGAGTCAAAAATATTTACCTTTATTGAGTAATAGGAAATTGATCACGCAGATAAGTAGATTCAAGTTCTACTCCAATGGTATAAGTATAGCATATAAGGGATGGTTTGAGAGGGAAATAATTCAAGGTAGACTCATGAGATTTTGCATTAGTTCAAGAGACAAGAAAGGAAGGCTTCAATCAAGGCAACGACCAGAGAATGAATAGGTGGTAACAGAAACAAGGAAAATTAGGACTTGGTAGCCAATTAGATGACAGGTCAGGAGGGAGAGGGAGGAACGAAAGATAGTACCAATGTTTTGAGCATGAAATACTAAAAAAAGGACACACAAAAGTATTAAAAATCAGAAGTGAATGCAATTTTGCTGATGCAGAGGAATCTACTTGTAGCATGTTGAATTTTGGGGGCAATAGCTAGGAGACCATTATAAAATCAAGCTTGAAGTTCAGAAATGTAGAAATAATATTTGAAACAGAGGGTATGGTTGAGACTGGTCAGATGGCTCATAGAGAAGATGAGGCTGAAAGATAAAACCTAAATAAATAAATAAAGATAGTACCTGAGAAATACCTGTACTTATAAAATGGAGTGGTCGGGGGCGGATACGGTGGCTCATGCCTACAATACCAGCACTTTGGGAGGCTGAGGTGAGAAGACTGCCTGAGCCCACAGGTTTGAGACCAGCCTGGACAACTTGGCGAGACCTCATCTCTACAATTAATCAAGAAAAATGAGCTGAGCTTGGTGATGCATGCCTGTAGTTCCAGCTACTTGGAAGGTTGAGGCAGAAGGATCGCCTGAGCCCAGTAGGTCAAGGCTGCAGTGGCCCTGAGTGTGCCACTGCATTCTAGCCTGGGCAACAGAGTGAGACTCCGACTTTAAAATAAAACAAAATAATAAAACAAAATAAAAATAAAATGTGGAGTAGGGAGTCAGAGAAAGAAGAGTTAAGAAGAAAAAAACAGACCAGGTACAGCAGCTCACATCAGTAATCCCAGTACTTTGGAAAGCCAAGGCAGGAGAATTGCTTGAGCCCAGGAGTTTAAGACCAGCCTGGGGAACATAGTGAGACATCACCTCTACAAAAAAATTTTTAAAGTTAGTCAGGCATGGTGGTGCAACCTGTAGTCCCAGCTACTCAGGAGGCTGAGATGGAAGGATTGCCTGAACCCAGGAGGTTGAGGCTGCAGTGACCCTTGATCATGCTACTGAACCCCAGCCTGGACAGCAGTATAAGACCCCGACTCAGAAGATGAAAGAGGAGGAGAAAAAATCATAGAATCACAAGGTTAGCCAGGTATGATAGCTCAAGACTGTAATCCCAGCACTTTGGGAGGCTGAGGCAAGAGGATTACCTGAGTCCAGGGGTTCGAGACCAGCCTGGGCAACTTGGTGAGACCTCACCTCTACAATTAAAAAAATAAATTAACCAGACATGGTGGCACATGCTTGTGGTTCCAGCTACTTGGAAGGCTGAGGCGGAAGGATTGCCTAAACCCAGCAGGTCGAGGCTGCGATGGCTGTGAGTGTGCCACTGCACTCCAGCCTGCAGGACAGAGTGACACTTCAACTTGGGGGGGAAAAAAAAAAGAATCACAAGGTTAAACAAGATCTAAGAGGAGCAAAAATCATAAAACTTCACAGAAACCAAGACAGGGAAAGATATTGTGAAGAAGGAAAGAGTACATCGAGAAGAGTCAGGAGGTTTCAGTGTCTATGCAACTGCTGGAAGAAGGGGATCTTGTGGCTAGCCATCAATGCTCGCCCTGACTCTCCCTGCTTTCCCTCCCAGCCTGGTGCAGTGAGCAGGATGGTGTAATCAGCGGGTCTGAGGGGAAGCTCTACTTCCCAGAAAGCCTCCACCTGTATTATGAGAACAAGCAGTGAGTATCCCTCCTCTGCTCCCCTCCCCTTACCCACCGCCCCCAGTTTGGCCGTTCCCATTAATTGGACTGTAATAGTTACTTTCTGTCTAGAAATAACACCCTCTCCATGATCTGCCTGCAGACTGTGTGTCTGGACCTTGTTGGTACCAGAGGAAATGCATGTGTTGCTCAGTTTTTTTCGCTTGGATGTCGAGTCTTGTCATCACAATTACCTGTCAATATATTCTTTAGAAGACAGACTCATTGGTGAGTGGATTTTTACACTGTCAAATGGAAAGTCCAGCTAGGTTAATGAGTCCTGGTTACACTGTGACTGGGACTGAGCCATCTGTAAATGCCACATTTCCCATCTCCAGTTTTGAGACTCAGAATTGGGAGTGGGAAGGAAGTGGATCTAAGTCTGCCCGATGGCTGCTAGCCCATGTTGTATGTCACGTGCTGCATCTGCTTCTCATCAAACTAGGCCTCCTAGCCCCATTTTTCAGACCTGGAGTCCATCAGGAGTAAAATCTAGATATACTGCAGGGCTTCTCAGGATTCCCAGACAAAACATGGCTTTCCTATTCATGACAATGACCTTTACCTGCCTGATCGAGCTAAAAAAGGAAAATACAGCTGGGCTCGGTGGCTCAGCCTGTAATCCCATGCTTTGGGAGGCTGAGGTGTGAGTGGATTGCCTGAGTCCACGGGTTCAAGATCCGCCAGGGCAACTTGGCGAGACCTCATCTCTACAATAAATCAAAAAATTAGCTGGGCGTGGTAGCGCGCGCCTGTAGTTCCAGCTACTTGGAAGGCTGAGATGGAAGGATCGCCAGAGCCCAGCAGGTCGAGGCTGCGGTGGCCGGGAGCGCCCACTGCACTCCAGTCTGGGCGACAGAGTGAGACTCCAACTCAAAAAAATAAACGACAAAAAAAAGGAAAATACCAATCGATAATCATGAGGAGACAAAGGTTACTTATATAAGATACAGGAATGGAGTGACGTTTCTGTGTTTCTCAACCAGAGGTGATTTTGCTCTGCCCTGGGAGAAATTTGGTAATGTTTGAGAAGCGTTTTCAGTTATCACAACTGGCAGTGTTACTGATAGAAGCCAGTGATACTACTAAACATCCTACAAAAGACACAGGTCAGCATGGACACAAAGAATGTTGTGATTCAAAATGTCAGTAGTATCAAGTTGAGAAAACCTGGTTTAGACAATCCTGAAGTATCATGGCAAATTCAGTTTTCCTTAAGTCATTTAATTGTTACTGTTTTCTAGATTCCTAACAAAGAATCTTCTTACTTGTGTTGCAGGAAAGTTTTGTGGAGGAAGCCTCCCCTCATCTATTCTTGTTGGTTCCAATTTTATCAGGCTGAAGTTCATATCTGATGGCACAGATTATGCTACTGGGTTTAACCTCACCTACAAAGCTCTTAAACCAAACTACCTTCCTGGTAAAGCCATTTGTTTTTATCACGTAAAAGTTTAGACCTCATAGGAATTAGATGAAGGTCAGGAAGTCCACCACCCTCACCCCGAGGCACACTGGCTGCAAAGTGGAGAGTTTTCAGGCTAGCCAGAGAACTGGGTGCAGTCTCTCCTTCAACCCCAAGTTAGTCCTGCTAACTCATAGTTATCACTCACTCAAGTGAGTTGAGAGGGCCTGGAGAGTTCTGGAAAATCAATGCGCAAACTACTTGCTTCCTGTTGGCTCTGTCTAAAAATTTAATTCACACATCAATTTTCAGGAGACAGAAAAGAAAATAATGAGAATTTCTCTTTATCTGAGTGGTGCTATTTGTTTGTACTTTTTCTTGTGTTTCAGATTCAGGTTGCAGTTCCTTAGCTGTCCTTTTTGAAGAAGGCCTCATACAGAGTCTTAACTATCCTGAAAACAACAGTGACGTGGTTGATTGTAACTGGATCTTTCAAGCCCCCAAACATCACCTAATTAAGGTATTGATTTTGGTATACCCTTACTTAGTAGGGTATACTTAGGGTATACCATGGTGCTCATGTTAGTTACTTAGCTTATGGTAAATCTACACAGTAACTAACATGAGCACCATGAGGTAAGCGAGTTTTATCTGATTGATTCGCAGCTGTGTTTGCAGTACCCAGCATCCGACGAAAGGTGACACAAATACTTTAAAAATGAACAGGCCCAGTTTCCGCCCCCCCCCAACTACTGGCTTTTACCACTAGATGGCACTTGTGTTCTTTATTTTTTGTTTAATTTTTTAAAAGTGTTGCTTTAATCTGGTGACTTTCCTAGACCCTTCTAGAAACAAATATTTCTTTCTTATTGATTAAACTGCTCATAAAATGTGTTGTAAGTAATAGATAACAAAGTCAACAACAATCAGGTCCAAATTATCAAGTCTTCCAAGCAGGAGGGACAGAACAAACCTAGAAGAACCAGCATTCAGGGAATCCTTGGTTTAAGAGAGTCATAAGATGTCCTGGGAAGGGATGGTGGAAAGTGAGGCTGAGGTCAGAGTATGGAGGGCTTTAAATATCTGGATGCAGAGTTTATTCCACATTCGTTTAGTAAGTAGTGCTTGTGACCCTTTGTCCACTAAACACTGGAAAACCATATGCAGAGAGAGGCCACAAGGTAGATGAAGGCAAGACTGCAGTCGGGGTGAGACTGGAACTAGGCATTATACATAAGTCTTTCTCTTACAATAACAATTGAAAGCAAGACAGTGTACAAAGGAAAGAATAGAGAGCAGAAAACAAAATGATGGGAGCAAGGGCAGATGGGACCTACTCAGTGTTTTTGTAGATTTAAGAGGTAGAAAGAGCTGGCAGTGGTGGCTCATGCCTATAATCCCAGCACTTTGAGAGGCAGAGGTGAGAGGCTTGCCTAAGGCCACGAGTTTGAGAACAGCCTGGCAACATGACGAGACCTTGTCTCTACAATAAATAAAAAAATTAGCCAGGCGTGGTGGTACATGCCTGTAGTTCCAGCTACTTGGGAGGGTGAGGCAGAAAGATTGCCTGAGCCCAGCAGGTCGACGCAGGGGTGACCATGAGCATGCCACTGCATTCCAGCCTGGGCAACAGAGTGAGACTCCAACTCAAAAATAGTAACAATAATTCACATTATGAGTATATTTCCAAGAGGAGGAACAAGGGGAACTTTGGTTGGAAATCTGAAAGTGCCAGAGTTGGAAGTGGTTTTAAAAAATCTCAAGCCAGGCTCGGTGGTTCAGCCTGTAATCCCGCACCTCTGGGAGGCTGAGGTGTGAGTGGATTGCCTGAGCCCGTGGGTTCAAGACCCACCTGGGCAGCAAGACCTCATCTCTACAATAAATCAAAAAATCAGCTGGGG